CCCTCCATCCTCCCAAGCATGATGTCCTTTTCCAAGGACTGGTCCTTCCTTGCAACATGTCCTCGTATGTCAGACGAAGCTTCAGAATCTTTGTCTCCAAGGAGCAGCCTGGATTTGCCCTCTCTAGAATGAACCTGTTTGTTCTCCTAGCCATCCATGGTATATTCAATACTCTTCTCCAGCACCACAGCTCATATCATACAAAGTTAATTTTTTAGTTGGCTGATGTGACTAAATGTTCTGACACGACTTCTGGCCCTTTCACTCTCACTCACTGATTCGTCTCCCTTTTCCTACCATGTGCTTGGCACTGTGCTCAGCAACCTTCTGCCACCTTTTGCTAGCAAACGCTACAGAGTTCCTCTAAGGAAGGCCCGTCTCTCCCAGGCAGCCTAGCTGTCCTCATCATCCCCTGCATAAATTAGGAATGGCTGACTAGGTCCGGAGGCTGGAAAACATTTTCTCACCTCATAAAGTTCCGTGAAACACACTAGGGTGGAAGAAACTGGCACTCAAGCCCTGGTATGGATTCTATCAGAGACGGCAAATGCTTTTCTCTCAACAAAATTGCTCCTGCAATAAATAAAGCTGCCTCCAAAAGCAGACTTCTGAATTTGAAAGAGACCCTCCACCCAACAGAAAAGAGAAAAGGTTGCCAACGAGTGGACTCAGACATACGGTTTATCTCAGAAAAGAACTGAGCTCTACTGAAGGGTCCCCAGTGACAGGGATTTGGTGGGGTTTTCCCCCCAGTGGCTGTTTTTTCAGGAGATTGCCAGGCCTTTCTTGTCATATGCCTTCAGGCCAGATATGAACCATCAACCTTTCAGTCAGTAGCCAACTTCAAATCATGTGTGCTCCCCAGGAACTCCTTGAAATTGAGAATCTATTCTTTTACAGGGGGGAAAAAAGGGAAGAATACAAAACATTCCCACGAAAACAGTTGCATTCTAATCTCTGGGGACTATTTCAGTCAATTTCCTCAACTTCTACTTATTTTTCTAAAGCACACATTTGAGGCTCAAACTGAAACCTCTACAACTCAACTTCTAAATCCCGACACGTCCTGTAACCAAGGAATCAATCACATTTGCACACTGCTTCCTAATGTCCCTCTGCTCAAGTCTTCCTTATATCCCAAAGGCCAAATCCACTGCTACCTTCCCATGAAATGGTTCCAGATCCTCTCACCAGGAACCCTGTAACTGTGCTCTGCAGACTCCTGAGGTAAGGCAAGTGGACCTCGTGGGCACCATCATGACCTCCGGTGGGATGGCCTGGTGTGTGTCCGTTCTCCTACTGCAGTGTGCGTTACTTCAAGGCTGCCAAGATGTTACTCACTCACGTAACAGCATCATAGATGTTCAGTAAATGGACAGTGAGATTATTTCTTATTAAAAAAATGGGTTTGAAACTTTTCATGCATTATCAACCACTGCTATGTAGCTATAATTTAATGGAATTTGTTTAGGCTTAGGAAAAAAAAAGGCTAAGGGGTTTTCATTGTATTTCTATTCAGTATTGTCACCTGAGAAACAAAAATTTCCAAGTGCCAGCTGTTATTTTGTTTAACATCACTGTTGCGCATTTTTAACAAAATGATTGTCCAAGTTTTTCCTCATCACCATGACAACAACATTTATTCCCACTTTTTTGCATATTAACAGCTTCACAAAAAAAGCCAGAATGGCAAGAATGTTGACTGGCTACTCTTCAAGGGCCTCCATTTTTCTTTCATGCTAAAATTCCCTGGTGACAATAAAATGCAAGAAGATCTCTGTTTTCCATACTGCCTTCCCCATCAGGAGTTATTTTCAGGGTAGAAGTAGCAGTATGGCCTATAAAAGTCATCACATTTGGCTAAGGCGCTGAAAATATCCCGGGTCGCCCGCATGGTTCACAGCAAAGACTATTAATATGATCCTCCTGAATAATGTGGCTGTTACATTCTTTACACCCGGGATGCTTTCAGGATTTCAGGAGCTAAGAACAAGGATCACAAACTAAATTTAAAACACGCCACTGAAAATCCTATGAAACGGAAAACTATAAATTAACCTGGTTTCTAAGCAACAATCTAAATAGTGAAAACTTTTAGAAAACACTCACTTTCAAAAATAGCCTCCGGCTTTGGAGGCCTCACTGGCTTGTTATCACCAAATGTATACGTGAAAATGAATATGCAAATGGATTGTGAAATGAATTAAAACCACTGAACTAGAAGAAACATAACTCTTCATTAAAAATCCTCAAAAATTGCTTAGGTCCTCCATTGTTGCCAAATGTCCCAAAATGTATACAGACGCCTTTGACTTTCACTATTTAGCTAAGCAGGAGTAACAATCTATTATTCCTCTAACTCTTTTTCATTTCAAAATCAGCAAACAGCTTATAGGCCAAAGCGACTGATGGGACAGAGAGAGAACAGAGTCATATCTTTACTTCCCATAAATAAATAACATGCCCTAGAAAGTATTAACTCTTTGGAGAAGGAAAAGAAAGTACTCAAGTTTATCACATACAAGAAGAAACCAGTGTCAGAATTTTACCAAAGCTGAAGTTACAAAAAGGTACCATGTTAAGAACCCTGATTGCATCTTGAAACCCTTAAAGATTCTATTGAATTATAAAAAGGAGATTTGCGTCCACATTTTCCATGGCTGTTTCCACTATCACAGGTGAAATGAGCAGACCCACGACCATCAGCAGTGAATCAATCTTCTAGACATTTCAAAAAGGGAAGAGGATCTGTCCTTGTTGACACAGACACCACACCATGTCTGTGATTCAGTTCACAGCCCAGCCAAATCAATCTATACGTCAGCTACAAACCATAAATCAGATGGTTGTGCTAGGGTTGTTAGCAGCATCCTTCAAACACTGAGGGCAGCAGAGAATGCGAGCCAAGTCCATACAATTTAAATTAAGTGTACAAATGCAACAACCCTCCTAGGGACGCACACACACACATGGAAGTCCATACAGTTTAGATTAAGTAAGTGTACAAATGCAATAACCCCCCTAGGGATGGACACACACACACACACACACACACACAGGAAAGTCCATACAGTTTAGATTAAGTAAGTGTACAAATGCAACAACTTTCCTAGGGACACACACACACACAAGAAAGTCCATACAGTTTAGATTAAGTATATAAATGCAACAACCCTCCGAGGGACACACACACACACACACACACACACACACACACGAAAGTCCATACAGTTTAGATTAAGTATATAAATGCAACAACCCTCCGAGGGACACACACACACACACACACACACACACACACACACACACACGAAAGTCCATACAGTT